TATTACCCTGTTTCTTTTTCAGTGTGATAAACTGCTTTGTCAGGTTTTATTCAGTCAGTTACACAGGGCTTCCCTCCCCACTCCAGCCTGGAAATACTAGCAAAGACACACTTCAAATATATTTCATTTCTCCAGAATGTACTGCAAGCCTTTATGAATGTGTGAATGTCTAGGGCAGGGGTAGGCAACCTTTTTGAGCCGGGGGCCGGGTTGCTGTCCCTCAGACAATTGACGGGCCGAAGCACCAAAAAAATAAATAAATAAATAAATAAATAAAATTAAAAAAGAATTTAAAAATTAAAAAAAATGCATGCACACTCTCTCAGCCCCAGAAAAGCCATGGCAAAACCCCTGTGAAGATTTTGCCAAGAAAACCCCAAGAACAAGTAATAACAACAGTAATCAATATCATCATGGGGGGGCAGCGGCGGTGGGGGTGGCGGCGGCAGCAGGACCGGTTTGGGGCCGGTCCAAAGGCCTTGCTGGGCCGCATCCGGCCCCCGGGCCTTAGGTTGCCTACCCCTGGTCTAGGGCAAAGTGTGCTTTGACTCACAATGAATCTTAAAATATGCAGAATGGATAATTTCATTGGGAATCTCAACTCTCCCAAAATTCTTTCCCATCCCCAGGCCTTCAGTTCCCAGGATTTCAGTAGCTGATAACAGCTAATCATGAAGTTCCCCCAATATAAAAAATTTTGCTTCACTTACATTGACATCTTTCAGACTTACTAATGGAAGATATTTCAAGAAATCATTATTATTTTTGCTTCATATTAAACAACTCTCCTCACTTCCCTGAAAACAAAACAAAACAAAATTCCAAGTATGTGCTATCTTGTTTGGAAAACCCAAGGACACAAGATATTATCTCTCTTTGTCTCTCTTTTTTAGTCACCACGAATAGAAAGTGGGAGGTGGGAGTGCAGACTAAAAGAAAGGGGGGAAATTGTAGGGAAAATCCATATCTTCTAGTTTATTATTGGCATGTGCCTTCAAGTCATTTCCAATTTATGTGAACCATAAGGTTTTCTTGGCAAGATTTTTTCAGAAGTGGTTTGCCATTGCTCTCCTCTGAGGCTGAGACAGTGTGACTTGCCCAGGGAAGGTCACCAAATGGACTTGCATGGCTGAGTAAGGATTTGAACTCTGGTCTCCTAGAGTACTAGTCTCACACTCAAACCACTACACCAAGCAGGCACTATTTTCTAGTTGGTATAGTTCAATTTTTTAAAAGGAAAAAGGTGCTCTCCATCATAGGGCTTCTAGTGGTACCAAACATTAGACATGATACAATTATTCCATCTTTTCCTTCTGAACAATTTGATTGTGTGTGAAATGGGGAAAGGGGGATGAAAGAAATTAAGGGAAAACATAGGAAGGTTGCCAATTTTTAAAAAATTACCATTTGGTCGCTCCTTAGCATCTCATGAATAAAGAACTGCAATGAATTGATAAAGATTTGTCTAAAAATATCCAGGAAAAAGAAAAAGGCCTTCCCCATTCCACTGTCTGCCATCCAATTATGTGAAGTGAATCAAATGTTAACTACTTATTCATTTATATATTGAATATTGCACCTTTCCCCCAATATGGAAGGCTGTCTACATTAGCTCAGAGATTTTATGTGTCATCAATATCTCACATATTCTGATGCTGATTCCTGGCACTTAAAATATTTTTTGCACTAAAGCCAAGGCTCAAATTAACCCCTCCTAGAGCAGTGGTGGGAACTGCAAAGGAAACATAACAGAGCCTTCTAGAAACAGAGGAAACAGCCCCACCACTTGCTTACATCCTTTTCTCCTTCCTCAGGCCCTCTTCAGAAAAACCCTAAACAAACAGCATTGAAATCAGAAGCATTTCCCCCAGAAAAGCAGCCCTTGATTTCCTGTTTTTTAAAACACGAGACCCTGCAAATAGTTTCTGGCTTCACAATTATTTTCTTTTTTAAAAACAGAAAAGAAATTGAAATGCAAAGCAAAACAATGAGCTATTTCCTGCAATGGCCTGGAAGGGATACCTCATAACTTTTATTCCGGTTTATCCAAGTACTACGGGCGGGCGGGATATCCTAACTAACAAGGTCAGTCGGGAAAGAGTCCCCCTCACTTTTTCCAACACATTGTCCTTCATCAAAAGACACTTTTATAAAGGACGGGCAAAATACCACCAGACATTGCTGGGCCGCAGCTCTCATGCCTCACCACTGGTTATGTTGGCTAACGCCAAGGGGAGTTGTAGTCCAACAGCATCTGGAGGTCCACACTTTGACCACTCTTGCCTTAAATTCTCTAAACAGGAACAATCACTTAAATCAGGGGTGAGGAACCTATGTCTCTTCGCATGTTTTGGACTACAACTATGCACAGTTTTTGCCATGTGGGTTGGAACTTTTGGAAGCAGAAAAGCAGAACATCTGCAGAGTCAAAAATGTGTCATCCTGGTTTAAACATCCAGTTACCCCAGGAGCCTTTGTTTTGGGAAGACTAGACGTATGTTCCCACCTGAATGAGGATATCACTGTCAGAGGTCCTGCTTTGAACACTCTCACCCTCTGAATGAGGTTTGACATCTGGTCTACTCAGGAATGGCTGTTCTCTGTAATAACTTCTCAGTTATGGATAGGGTTGCCAGAGTGAAAACTGGAGATGGCTCCTGTAGAACCAGGAATTGTTGAGTAGAACCAAGAATTTCAGAAAGTGTTGCTTGTTACCTAGTTGTATGACAAGCACCATCCGCTGAAATTCCCTGCCCTTGTTGTTAACTGTCATCAAGTCAACTTTGACTTATGGTAACTCTATGAATAAGAGATCTCCAAGACACCCTATCATCAGCAGCCCTGTTCCTTCTACCCTAAACATCCACCAAGGAAGAAAAGACAGAATAGCTACATACTGTATTTTGATTAGCACTAGGATCCCTCTGTTTAGAAGCACCCCTAAGGCAATATCTTATTTCCCATTCTTCTGTGTGACTTGTAGGAGGAGGAATGGAGGTTATAATAACTAAGGGGCTATCTACACAAGTGTTCAAATGTGTTTTCGCCCTGTTTTGTAGGCTACCTGTTGAAATGACACACGTAGCCAACATGAGAGGAATCTGGGATGAAGCCACATTTTAGCGCTAAACACCTGAGCAAAATAACCCCTGGTTTGCTCCAGTTCAAGCCAGAAAATGCAAAAACTATTGCATCAACATGTGGACTGTGCACCGGTGACAAGGGAATGGACTGCTGGCACCACTGATGCCCATCTTTTTTTTTTAAACCCATCCATGAGTCAATTGCATATGCACACAAGTGGTCAGCATATGTGCACAAGTAATCATTCCACCATCGCTCTCCCCATGAAGCAAAATGATGACAAACAAGACAATGGATGCAAACATGTTAACAAACTGGCCAGTCCATGATGGGGCCATGGAGGAAGGGGGTAAAAGGGAAAGGAGACAAGCATGATTGTGATTGTGCCAACTTGTCACTGGGTGCACTGATTCTCTGTATGACTGGTCAATTGCTTGTGTGATCAAGTGGGCAGTCGCATGGCTGTTTGCACAAGGCGTCAAATGGACTGGCAGCTGGGTGAGACAAGGGAGGCAATTGGTGGCTGCTGGCACCGCATCCGTGCATATGTGCATATGTGTTTTGGGCAGAAGGGGGGAAAAATACTGGCATGGCACAGCAAACACTCCATTTTGGCATGTCTGTCCTTGCAGGAAAAGGGGGGCAGTGAGAACCACCCGTGGATTTCAGACCACTGTGGGAGGCAGCGGTTTGGTCAGTGAGTTCTCCGTGCAAATCATGAAGCCCGAAAGGTAATCCAGCTTTTCCCCTCCATCTGCTCAGCCCCAAGAAACTGATCAAGTAGACTTTTCCTTTTCTAGGTGCTGTCCTCTCCTGTCAAAGAGAGAGTGGCTGGAGAATGGGGAAGTAATTTTTACTCTTATGCCAGATTCAAACTCAAAAAGGCATTTTCTTCCTCCAAGAATGAGCAGAGTTTAGGAGTAACACATCACAAGTAATGATATTACCTGTAACACATTACTTTTTCTGATCATGAGAACATGGCAGCGTTTTTCTTAACAATGTAACAATTGATAACACTGGTTTTAAAAAAAGAATGTAAATAGTATAAAAATAGTATAACTGGTAACAGTTACTCATTAGTCTGAAAACATCATGGGAGGGCATTTGTGGGAATTGGGGTCATTTGTATTATTAAGATGACGATGATGATTACGAAAAGTAATGTATTATCAACTTGCTAATCACAGAGTCACAAACAACAGTGAATGTGTCTTTGAAAAATAATCTATGATCATAACACACTACTGGAAAACAACAAATGATGCCTGACACACTATTAAAGAAAGAACAACAACATTCCAAACTCTGGGAGTCAGGACAGAATTAGATCACCAATCCCCAGCCCTTCCCCCTTCCAGCAGACTTCCCATCTAAAGGAAAGGGATTGATCTCATTATACTCCAGCTACCTTCAGAACCCACACCAGATGTTCCTCCTGAGATCACTAGCAGTACATTTTTCTCCTCTTTCTCTCCCTTCCCCCATCACCCCATCTCTGGCCCACACACACACTGCCATAATCAAAAACTTGAACGCTTCTCTCTGAAGGCCTCCTTTTGATGATCCAGGTTCTCTCACCCACCACATGGTCTCCAGAGTCACAGGCGAGTATTTCGGTTTATGTTTTCAGCCCAGACCACACCACACAAGTGAAATGTTTCTCTTTGCTTCTTATCAAGCAGTGCTGTAACTAATCAACTGTGTTGCCCTCAACCCTCAGGATCCTAGACAGCACAAATTGTTCATCAGGAGACTGATGATGATGATGATGATGATGTGTGCCTTCAAGTCCTTTCCAACTTATGGCAACCCTAAGGCAAACATATCATGTTCTTTTCTTGGCAAGATTTGTTCATTGCCTTCCAGTGAGGCTGAGAGAATGTGACTTGCCCAAGGACACCCAGTGGGCTTCATGGCCAAGCTGGGAATTGAGCCCTGGTGTCCAGAGCTGTAGTCTAACACTCAAACCACTACACCACACAGGCTGTCTAGGAGATTGTACAGAATAGTAAAAAAAAATTTAAATAAACCAGAAGTTATGCCCAGAATGACTTTTGTGACAGCCAAAATGTGGTGGAAGGATATTTATGGTCCTTGAAGGCCATGGATTTTGGAATTCCAAGGCCAACTTCTGTTGTTGGAGAGAAAGAATCAGTTGGAAAATATAAAATTGATTAGCCCCTTAGAATCAGTTAACTGATTAATAATTATCACTTAATTCTAGAACTAATGCTAAAATCCCAATTTAAATCAATCCCTTTAGTTAAAAATAAATTTCAGTATGTTGTCGCTGTAGTGAGAAAATTTCTAACTTAATTGACAACGTTGTTAGTTTTACTAACAACAGTAGTTAGTTTCTGTCTCTGATGTCTCACTGCGAGAATTCCTAGTATCACATTTTCTTTGGCCTTTTCTGACCCACAGACCCTCAGCATGCAAAGTGACCTTGTTCATCCACCCCATAGTTGCCACACACAGAGACTATTTCCTGACTAGACCTTTTATGAGGCTTTTCACAAGACCATTCCTCAAGCACTCACCCCCGTGAGCTTAGGGGGGTTGCAGACTGCCAGAAATAGTGCAAATTGAGTCCACTTTAAGGGTTAGGGTTAGTGCTAGGGAATCATGGGAACTGTATTTTATTGTGGCACCAGAGCTCTCTGACAAAGAAGGCTCAATGTCTCAGAAAAAAAACAATTCCCATGATTCCCTAGCACTAATCCTAACCCTAAAAGTGGACTCAATTTGCACTATTTTTGGCAGTCTGCAACCCCCCTTAGTCATCTCCCAACTGACTTCAGTTGGCTGCAGCTAGGAAACTAAGATTTATATTGTATACTTTGTAAATGTCCCAGATTGGTTCCACTAGATTTACATACAGCATGGCATAGTGGTTTGAGCACTGGACTATGACACTGGAGACCAGGGTTCGATTCCCTTCTCACCCATGAAACCCATTTGGAGACCTTGGGTAAGTCACATGCTCTCAGTCTCAGGAAGGCAATGAATGGCAAACCTCCTCTAAACAAATCTTGCCAAGAAAGCCCATGATAGGTTTGACTTAGGGTCGCCATAAGTCAGACATGACTTGAAGGCACACAGCAACTAATCAGAAGACAATCTACCCAGTTAATGCCAATTTAAAGCTCTTTTCAAGACCATTCAATAGCCTTCATCAAATAAATGTATCTCTGTTGCAAAAATAATAAATACGACACTTTCTTGATCTTATATCTGATTTGTGAGGTTAATGGCTATTCAGACCAAAAAGTATGAATGAAATAATATATTGATTCACTGGAGGCAACCTACATGTTCTAGTTAAGGGTCTACCTTAGAGATTGGGGTTAGGAGAACATTTGTGGTAAATCGTTACGAAGAGCCAAGAATGTAGGGAGGGTGAATTATACAGTGACCAAAAAAGCCATCACAATAAAACTAGTGTCCTAGCAAATCGGCCAACATTCCCTTTTCCATCCCCCATCCTCCTCCACGAATCCTTCAAGGAGTCCATAAAGGGCACTACTGTGAACTGCTCTCTCTCTCTCTCTCTCTCTCGTTCTAAAATAGGGCATTCTCAATCATGCCAAACAGCAAACTAGGCTGGGCTAGAAATGGGAAAGACCTGATGTTTCAGATGACTAGCAAGCATCCTAATTTTTGAAAAATGAAGTACGTAGTGGGATTCACGATTCCCCAGAAGTCACAGCTTCTAACCTCAGACAGATTCTCACTGGAATGTATAGACTCTCCAAGGATATCCTCTATATCATCCTCTGTATCAACAAGGGAATCTCTGCTATTATTTATCATCAGCATCTAGCATGTTTCAGGTCTGGGTCCTGTTTTTAAAAATAGCTCCTGAGACTCAACCAAAAGAAAAGTTCGACTCTAATAATGTCTTGTTCTGAAACAGGGACAGAAGGATATTCAAAAGATGTTCTGTATCATTCGCTCTATGTTAGATGTGTTTTTGTTTTAAATTAATATTTTTAATTGGACAGATTGCTTAGAAGGGTTTATTTTTATTTTTGTTCTACACAGTCGATCCTCTGTATCCACGGATTCTTCATCCATAGACTCAAGCATCCACAGCTTGAAAATATTCCAAAAAGATATAATGTCAAAAAGCAAGCCTTGATTTTGCCATTTTATATAAGGGACACAATTTTACTATGTCATTGTAATTAATGGAAGTTGAGCCTCCACGGATTTTGGTACCCACGGGGGTTCCTGGAATGAAACCCCAGTGGATGCCAAAAGTCCACTGTATATTCTTTTGGCTACTTTGTTTTAACTAGTATTATAAGCTACTTTGGGCCTATATTGTGAGAAATGAAATGAAAGAAACAATCAATCTATCTTGCCATTCAACAATAGACAAACATACAGATTAACATGTAAATCACTTCCTCTCAACCAAGGGTCACACAGTATATATATCCCACTCACTTCCATGCCAGCATTCTCTGAAGATGCCAGTAACAGCTGCTGGCGAAGCATCAGGAAACAATCAATCTATCAGTCCTGGGAGGAAGAGGCAGATATGTTTCTTTTTCTCATGAACTAACTGCCTTTGCAGACTGCCAGAAATAGTGCAAATTGAGTCCACTTTAAGGGTTAGGGTTAGTGCTAGGGAATCATGGGAATTGTTGTTGTTTTTTCTGAGACACTGAGCCTTCTCTGTCAGAGAGCTCTGGTTGTCATGGCCTCCTCTGCCCCAATAATGCTTACATTTGTTCATTTGCAAGGTTTTACAAGACCTTTGCAAGGCTCTAAGGCAAATGGTTACAAAAATTAAGCAGGTGTAGAATGGGTTTAGATCAGCCTTTCTCACCCTTTTTATCCCAGAGGAAGGAACCCTTGAAATGATTTTCAGGTCTCAGGCAACCCCTGCACACATAAAAATATTCTAAATGTATTGGTTTTTTATCACCAAAATAGTTTATTGTTTTTTTCTATTGCAATCTCTTGCAGAACCCTGGTTGAGAAACCCTGGTTTAGGCTGATAACATAACTATTGGAACCATACTTGGAGAAGACTCATTGGTTTCAATGACTGCACTCTGTGTATAGGTTGCCTTCAAATCAAACCAATAAACAAGTCTATATCTGCTTCTACCAGACTGTCTGCTATCTCATTCCCACAACTGATTTTAAATCATTTGATCACACACACACTCATCCTTTGATCCACTTCCTGACCTCATGTTAATTGTGTACCATTTTTCATTCTTTCCTTCACAATGCACAGCACAAACCTGGAACAATATATATGTTACTCGTCTGTAGTAGAGGAACTCTTCCTCCCTAGCCTTTGTCCCTCTATCCACAAAAGTATCTTCCCATTTATATCAACTTGATTTTTGCTTTGTTCCTAACAATTAATATATAGCAAGACAGGATTAAAGGAAAAACATTCACAAAAGGTTTGGGCCAAAAAAATCTAAGTGTCACTAACAGGTTGTGTTAATAAAACACTCACTACATCTTCAGAGGCAACATTCTTTAGTCACACTTTGTATAGGCAGAGACTGAATTCAAGTTATTGAACCTACACTGAAAACAGGTTTCAGAATTGAGCCCTGGTTAGAGGGGGGGTCTAAGTATACTAAAGGCACTAAATCTCATCTGATCTTGGAAGCGAAGCACAGTAAGCCCTGGAAAAACTACCTTAGAAAACCTTATGAAATTCATAGGGTTGCCATAAGTCAAGTTGACAGGTGACTTGAAGGACACACACACACACTGAATCCTTCAGAAATGTCATTACAGTGGGCCCTTGGTATCTGCTGGCATTTGATTCCAGAACCCCCTGTGGATACCCAAATCCATGAATGTTTAAGTCCCGTTAAATACAATGGATAATAAAACGGCAAAATCTTGTATAAAATGGCAAAATCAAGATTTGCTTTTCGGATTTTTAAATATATATATTTCCAAGCCGTAGATGCTTGGATTCATGAACAAAGAAAGAATCCATGGATATGGAAAGCCAACTGTTGTTGTTTTTTGTTGCTGTTGTTTTGGTTTTTGTCACAAGAAAATATTCAGAATGCACAGCTCACTGTCAGTCTTGTAATGTTGCCAGCTCAGCACAGAATTCCCTTACCATTTTCTAAACTGAACATTTGTATGCAGTAGGTGTGTGACTACATACTTTTCTGGTATTTCAAGTTCATAGCTGCTGGCAGGAAGGGGGAAAGATCCCAGCTGAGAAACTCAAGCATCTGCCAAGCAGCAACTATAAACAAGGCACCAGCTAAAGGAGGGCACAGCCTATGGGGAAGAATACTAATTTGGGAAATATGTACATAGAGCAAGATTTACAGAGTTTAGGAACCCATTAAATACCCCTTCTTTTGAATTCTCATCCAATATTATGATTTCCTAAACATTTTATCAGATATTGTTTGCAAGCCCTCAAAGATTTCTCTACAACAGTGAAGTTAGGAGGGGAGAATAGTTTTGAAAAAAAGCAAGCTACAAAGCAAAGTGATCTGAGAAGATTCTCTCAGCCCATGTCATTGTAACTCATCCCACCTTCCTGAAATTCCATCTTCTCTAGCCCATTTATTTAATTAATTGTTAAACCTGGTTTCCAACGCACAGACGCACATCTTCAGTTGCAAAAAATGCACTCCACACAACAGTAAATCTAATCTTTATCCATTAGGTGGGCACACAGCTATTGGCCCTATGCAAATCACAGGTTTGAGATATACACAAATAGCTTTCTCCAACAAAGGCGTAAACCAAATGTGGTCCTCCAGATGATGTTTGATTGCAACTCCCAACTTTCTTCTCCATTGTCTATATGGGCTAGCGCTCTTAAGAGTTGCAGATCCACAAATCTGAAGTATAATACCGTACTTTGCCAAGTCTTCTTCTACAATGACCACTTACTTGCCATAAGAGGAATGAATACTCAAGTGTCATGGTACCTCAATAGCACAAAATTGTGAAGTTACATATCGGGACAACC